TAACACCAGATTAGGTGACTACCACATTTCTCAATGTGGAGTTTCCACAGAAGCAATGACACACTACCTTCTCACGTGCCTGTCTGTCTCTCACCAACCAGGAAGCCCGTCTGGGGGAGCCTCAGCGTCCAGAGGCTTTGATGGGGCTTCTTATGTTTTGCAAGCTCCAGGACCTCGCCCCTGAGGTTGGCTGGTTCCAGGTGGCCCCATTCCTCAGTCCCCGCATCACCTCCGCTCAGCTTTAGACCCTCAGGGTGATCCTGAGCGTCCAGTGCTCCAAGGGTTCCTTTTCAGGAGCCAAAGACAAAAGTGGATTAAGCTAAATTTTTTATCTGACTGAAATGCAACTTGAACTGCAAGAAGAGCAAACGGTTACGATTAAGGTGACCCGATGTCCCGCTTTTGGCGGGACAGTCCCGACCTTTAACAATTTTTCCCGTGGCGTTTTTAAAAAGTCCCGATTTTTGGAAAGAATGCACACGACAAGCTGGGGTCGACGGTTTTCAGCTGCCATGTGGCTATTTCGCCAGGATAGGAGTTTTATCAGTGGTGCCCCGCTTTGCCAATGTGAACATCTGGTCACCTTAGTTTAAGATGAAGTATCTAAGCTTCCAGCTGAACGAGGTATAAGAAGAGTCGGCACAACGGGTCCAAAGCTGATGACGGCGATGACTGCCTAACCCTTCGTAATAGGATGGAACTATTGAATTGTGTGATCTATTAACGATCGCTCAATACAATTATTTTTAAAATGAAGGGCAACTTAAACACACTATAAGTAGGGGGGGGGGATAAAGAGCAGAAACCAATACAATAGAAAACAGAAAATAAGGTATCCAGAGCTAATAGTTGTTACTTTGGAAATACTGATAAAGCGCATTAGCCTCTAGCCAAACTAGTCAAGAAAAAAGAGAGAGAGAAACACAAAGTACTATCAAGAATTAAGAAAGGGGAAAAAAGAAAACTAAAAATTGAGACGAAACATCATTACAGATCCTATAGACCTTATTAGAAGATGAGTTGGGGAACAGAACACCTGAGGGCCAATCAATGTAACCACGTAGACAAAGTGGACAAACGTATTAAAAAGCACACAGCTGTTCCAATTGCAATAAAGGAAACTCACAAGGCAGCAGAGGGAGCTTTGCTCATTCCAGGGGCTTCGGGAGAGTTTTTTCCCCAGGGGAATGTTTTAGCTGGGACCTGAAGGATGAGTGGACTCCCCCAGCCAGCTAGAATTGTGTCCCCGGCAGGCGGGACGGCACATGCAGAGCCCTGAGGTCAGAATGAACTTGGTGTGTCCCAGGCAAACAGCATCGGTTCAAACCGCCCTTTCTGGTGTTTGGTGCACCTTCGGGTGCACTGGCTTGATTGGACAACACTGAAAGCTTGCCTGCCTGGATCTTCTCATTGGGGGCACCCACAGCCCACCAGGCGTGGCATTTCTCAACGGGAGCTCTGGCTCTGGTAGCGACGATCAACCCTATCCTACCCAGCAACAAGCGGAGGCTTCAAAGAAAGGCCTCACCTTGCCTTGCCCTCACAGAAGCCAAGACCTACCACCCTCACCACATCGTTGTCCCCAGGTTGGCCCTGATTGAGCTGTGGTTAGCACCTTGGATTGTGGGTTCCCCAAAGAACCACTGCCCTCGTCTTCCTGCCTCGTGCCCAATGTGTTCTCTTGGGTGGGGGGAGTGTAGTAAAAAAGAACCAACAGTCCCCCCCCTCACCCCCTTGGCACTATTTGCCCTTTCAATCTGCAATACCCCAGTCGCCAGGGTGTGTGGAGATGCCAAGGTCTGATATGCGTTCTCGAAAAAGGGGTGGGGAGAGGAGAGAGTCCCTTTCAGGACCCACAGGGTGTGCAACTTCCTGCCCATGTGGAAACCCTGCGGCTTCTGCTTCTCCTTTCCTGCCCAGCTCGCTCTGCCTCCAGGAGCAGTCGGCGGGCGGACAGCCTCGGGCCACTCTGGCCTCAGCCAGCGTCCTGGCTCTGCGCGGGAGGAGCGATGTCCTGGACTGTCCTCCTCTTCGCAGCTGGTGAGTCCGACACCTCCCTCACCCTCGCCTCCTGCCCCCCTGCTGCTCTGGGGGCCCAGAAACCAGCACCTGCCCTGATGGGATGGCTGTCCTTCCCAGGTGAGGGAGGAGGTTGGGCTCAAAGTGATGCTGAGAAAAGCCTTGGAAACTTCCCCAGGAGGGGCTCTCCTCGCCCCTAACCCTAAGCCCAGAACAGTAGCAGTACGGGCCCTTGGCAGAGGACATGCCCACGCCCCATGACTCAGCCAGCAAGCGGGTGAAGGGCAGAGGCTAGGCCAAGGAGGGGAGGCTGAACAAGGGGCAGCTTGTCCATGTCTCACCTGGGCCAGGTGCCCTGTTCAGCTGGGGCAGAGACTTCTCCCGAAGAAACTCCCCCGAAATCCCTGTTTCTCACCACAGCCTGGCATCTGGCCCCTCTGCCTTCCCCTTTTCCTGCTCTCCCTCTCAGCCACACCCCTCCAGCCACCCTCGCCTCCTCCCTGCATCCCTCTGCCCCTTGCCCTGCACCCAGCTCCTCCCTGGCCTAACCTCCCCTCTTCTGAGAAGCCCTCCACCCTCACCCCAGCTGTCAAGTCTTTCGGGAGCGGACTGTCACGC